TTGTAATACATAGCCTAAATGTATTTAACCCCCAGAGTAAAGGTCAATTTTGTACAGTGAACTCCATTTTTTGTCCTTTTATGCACGACTAAATGATAATTAAGTTTTAATGAAAAGCATTAGACTGATTACAATTAACATAATCACTCTTGTCAGTTCATGTCCTTGTACTCTACATGCTGAGCTGAGTGGGCAAGACAGGGCAATTTAAACAGTGTTCAAATGTTTTGTAAGCTTCAGCCAATTATATTTTTTCCAATAAAATACCTCTAATTACATTTACAATCAACAATAAGTAATTTATAGGTGATATGTTCTGAGTTCTCTCACACTATCCTTTCACCTTTTTTTTTAGGCAGATGCAGTAAAGACATTTTTGAGTGCAAAATATAGAGACTAGTCAGCCAATGAAACAAATTCTCCAGCTGAAGCTTAGCACTTTAATGCTTTGTTTTTAAGTTGTTCATTTGACCTGATTCTTTCAGATGTACATCCTTTGTATCATCCCAAAAGGATGTAGACATTTGTCCCAATCGCATAATCCAGTACAGAAGCTGCATTATTGAAGATTTTCCAATCCTGTGCAATACTGCACCTGAAGTTTTCTTCTTCAATTCTCATTAACAGATAAAGGAAATATAGTCATTAATAGATGCAACACTTGAAAATTCTTCAAGTGACACTAAGAACCAGAACTTCACTAGTCACCTTCCCAGAACTTGTAATAAAATGTCTACACCGTGTACAATTGCCAGAAGAAAAATTTTAAGCAACTTAGGAATCTTTTATATATCAAGTTACAAACTACTGAAATACTGAAATGTCAATATTCTGTGCAGCTTTGCTATAAACTGCCCGACAGTTTGCAAACGTGATAAATACTAAAGCATGCAAAGATCCTCACTTAGCCATAGATTAATTACTTTAAATCCTTTACAGATCAAGGCCACAGTGGTCTGCTTATTGCCTTGAGGATACTAAATAAACTAAGCTCTGATTTTTTAATGAAATAATTAAACATTTACTTTCATACATTGCTTAAATCTTGTTTTTTACTCCTTACAATTAAAAAATTAATAAAAAATCCCACTTGCCAAGCAGAGTGAACAAAATTTTATTTTCCCTTTACTTGAGCTGAGGCATTCAGCTCTTCATCACTAATTCCAATTAATTCCAGTAGGACATACTCCACAGTTGCCAGCATAATAACTCAGTGATATTATACCAAGGTGGCAAAATCAGTTCTTCACTCTCAAAGTATTAAATTGTCTTCTACTTACTATTAGTATCACTGAAGGTTAAGGAATATGCTGCCAAAATTAATCTTTTAAATATTTCCATCCTTTCAAAATCTGTGCATAAACTTATAATTATTTTCATATAATTCAACCTTAAATGTGTTTGCTAATGCTAATAGAGGAAAAAAACCCTTTATTTCCACAAATGTAAAATTTATCTCTTTTTTAAAAAAAAAACTCCATGAAAAGCAGCATATTATACAGCATATTGTTCAGAAATTTTAGAAACATTTATTCTGCTCTTTGTCTTTTATTCATTTTGCATACTTTTAACTAGAAGTCTGTTGTTGAGGGTGTGGGTACAGCATTCCGAAAAATCATGGAAAATGAATTAAACAGGTAAATATAAAATGCATTATTTGGTGGCTAGGAAAATCCCAAAATTTATATTTTCATGCCAATAATAATGACTGAAAGCTTATTAGAACCCTTTACTTTTGAATGACAGTGTCTATGGAGAATAATGCTTCTACTCTCAACAATTTTATTAATTCATAATTTTCCTATGTCCTGAGTAGAAATACACTCACGTACATTATATATAGATATACAAGGATGCAACAACTGAGTCAAAGACAATGATAGTCTCCCTGCAGTCCTACTCTCAGTCTTTAACATTTCAGTCAGAATAACATAGAAAAACTTCACTTACTTAGTTTTACAATATTGATCACTTGTGCAATATTGATCACAGCTTCTCTCTGTACAGAGGAGCTTTCCCTTTCTACCTGAAGATAAATTTGATTAGTTTAATAGTAATTTTTGTGTGTATTTCAATATGGTAAGGACTATTTTATTATTTGTTTAATCAGGTAGCGAAAGAGTTTAAGGCCATAAAAGTGATGCATCCAATGCATCTATGCAAACAATGTTTTGAGAAAAAAAATCCAACTAATTGAAGGCATAAATGAAATAATACATTATTGAGTAGCAATGGTGAGAACATTTAAAACTTTTGGCTCAGAAGGAAAGTTCTATATTTACAGACATGTATTGACTTGTTAAATAATGCTTATTAGATAATGCTAGGCATGTGGTTACTGTGCAAAACAAGGAATAAGAAAACATAAACACTCAAGGTAAATCCAAAAATTCTCCCTAGTTGTATTTATTTGCAAAAATATATAAAATAATTAAGATAATGTAACATCTTTTAAAGACTGAGGAAGCTGTAAGACAACAAACACTTAATGTATATAGGAATAACATATATAAATAGTGTATGTAC